GGCTGGGGCTCCGCTGTCTGGGGGCGACAGTTGGCAGCACGGAGCTCCCGCGGATGAAGTTTCCCTGCCCTCGGGAGCCGCGATGTGATCAGACCGGCCTCTCCGAGTTAGATTGTTGTGCAAAGAGGTGGTTGGCTTTTCCTGGGCCTGGAGGCATTTCACCCTGTCTCTGCCGTGCTGCCCGAGTGGGTGTTTGACACGGGTGGGACGGGCAGCTCCAGCACACAGGCGTGTTGCTCTGGTCCGGATCTTCCCTTCGGGCCCCTTTGTCATCCCCAGACCCCGTATTTTAATTGCCGTCTGCGTTGTGTAAAGGGTACGTGCTGGCAGAGCCGTTTGCCAGACTGAAGTTTTATGTCATGGGAGACTGAATCATCTTTGTTCACAGTGAAAGTGATATAGTTATTAAAATCCAGATATTTGTGTACAATTCTTATCATCCCTCTAAAACCCAAAGTGCAGCAGTAAGCATTAAACTTACTCTAAACAAAGAATGACATAACATATATGCACCATAGTTACACATCTGATAACTTACATCAGCTGCAAGCATCCAAAATCAATACATCTGAAGGTACTCTCTCTGTTTTCGTTTTTGACGTAGCCATAGTATGTGGCAGCGTTTTTCTTTTATGGTCTGTCTAGGATCTTTCCTCTTAGTTTCTATGCTGCTTCGAGATGAAAAAAAGGTAGGGGAAATATTTGCCTATTTAGCATTACTTACAAAAGTTTAACAGTACCGAGTATGATTTAAAGTAGCACCATGTGCTTATAATTTTCTTTAACCCGTTCTCAAATTGAAAATATTTCAAGTAGACGTTATTCCTTTGAGCACTTCATGTAATGTTAAATCTGCTTTCAGGGGAAAAAGCACATTTGTTTACTTTTCATAATGGTTTTTAAACATATTACAGCCAGTATGAAACAAACAGCAAAGTATTTTTGTATAACTACATAGGATGGTTTTCGAGTAATAACCTCAAACTTGTAAGTTAATATATAATCGAAGATATTATAAGAAAGGGATAAAATTTTTCCTAGCCACATAGACAAGAGGTAGTCATTCCATATACTGCGCCAAATGGATAATAGAAATTGAAGCAGAAAATGCACATTGAGACATCTACTGGTTTATATTTAAAAAGTTAAATACTTGGATGTTTCAGTTTAATAGTAACTCTGTGGATACATACATTGATTCCTGTTAATAAGATGATGCTGAACTTGAATTAAATAAGCAAGCTATTTGGTATACTCTTACGTAAAATGATTCTTGTTTGTTTTAAATATATTTATTTTTTAATTTCTATCTCCTCCATTTGATGCACTATTGCAGTGCAGTATTGATCATTTTTAATCTGCTTGCATAGATCCAGCTAAAGGCATAAGGCCTTAAGTTGCTTAGTTTTCTAGTTATCATGGATCCAACTGCCCTATGGCTGTATTTATATTTTATTAATTTTTCAATTTTAATGTAGATTTTAGGCATTACCAAGTAAATATTCTTCAAACTAACACTGAAGAATAACAACATTGAAGAGAGTAGTCTTGTCTTTCTTAATTATTCAGAATTGCAAAATATTGCTGCATTTTCAACTTGAAATATTTTACATGAGCATATGAAGTGTGAATGATATTAACATTACTTATATTGATAGTTCTGATGATAACCTGAATTGTAAGTTGAATGGCAAATAAAAGTAACTTGAGCAGTTCTGCCCAGATTTTTTCTGTAGTGGGAAAGGGGTACCACAGAACCCACTCTCATATGTCTGTTCATTATATTGCTGTATACTAAATCTATAAGTAGAAAACAGTGGATTTCATGGCTCTTTAGGACCAGTTCTGGAAGTTCTAGTTTGGCCTTTGTACGTTTCTTGGAAAAAAAAAAAAAAAATCCACATGAAAGAACTTGGGATACGTTTTCAAGGATGACTGATGAAAGAAATATCTGGCATCTCTTTATGTTCTAAATTTTATATACAGTATATAAAAATATATATTGTGTATAAAACATATGTGTGTGTATATAGTGGAACTTGAATAGGTTATTTTTACACATTTTTTCAAAAGTAAATTCCACTGTAAGACTTTTTGTCCAGCTCCTCCACCCCTCACCCCGCAGCTTCGCCCACATCACAAAGTATGTTTTCATGTAAATTTACACATATTGGCTTCTAATTTAACCTCCAACAGTACCACATTATTGCCTGTGGTTTATGGTTAGAAATGTTTAAAGGAAGTGTAAGTGGAAATAGTTATTGCCTTTAGCTTTCCCTCAAAACAGAAAAAAATTACTCTTCATAACTTTAGTACCAATTGATTT